CAGATTTATTGGCAAAATGGTGTTCATAACATTCCCTTATTAAACTTTTAAATCTCCTGCCGGCAGTAATGGTCCCTCTTCAACCCTAATCGTTTTATTTGTGTTTTTTATCTTTTAAAAGTTGATCAGTTTGGCTGAGGTTTATCAACTGAGTTTTTTTTTTTTAAACAACTTGGTCTTTGCTGTTCCTGTCTCCTTGTGTCTCATTCTCTGTTCCGTTAACTTCTGCCTTTTTCTCTGTTGTTTCCTCCATTTTTCTGGCTGTACCCTCATCTTTATTCGTGCTTTGTTTTCATTTCGTTGAGGGTCAGATGAGAGTAGGAGGGAGGGCACCTGCCTTGAACCAGCTAATGTGGGTTCAATCCCCAGCATCTCTGAACCCACCAGGAGTGATCTCCGAGCACAGAGCCAGGAGTAAGCCCTGGTCCAAAAACCAACAACAAAAAAATTCATTTTGCTCTTTTTTAAAAATAAATAACTTGCTTTTCATGCTATTTATTATTTTTTAATTTTTTGAGTGATAGCACAGCAGGTAGGGCGTTCGCCTTACAAGCGGCCAACAGGGCCGACCCGAGTTCAATTCCTCTGCCCCTCTCGGAGAGCCCGGCAAGCTACCGAGAGTATTCGATATGCCAGACACAGTAACAACAAAGTCTCCAATGGAGACGTTACTGGGCCCGCTCGAGCAATTTTTTGACGTCAAAAGACCACGTGGCTGCCCACCTACCAGATGGTCAGACTTCTACATCAAGACCCTGAACGATTGGTTTGAGGCTCTTCGTGTTCCTAGAACAAACAGACGCCATTGGGCTACACTAGCATGTGATAGGGACAAATGGAGACGTTACTGGCGCCTGCTTGAGCAAATCGATGATTAACGGGAAGTCAAGTGATCAAGCAATTTTTTTTTTGGGTCACACTCGGTGATGCACAGGGTTTACTCCTGGCTCTGCACTCAGGAATCACTCCTGGTGGTGCTCAGGGGACCATATGGGATGCTGGGAATCGAAGCCGGGTCGGCCTCGTGCAAGGCAAACGCCCTACCTGCTGTGCTATCACTCCAGCCTCCTTTGCTTTTTTTTTTTTTTTGATGTATGCATTTATGAGTCCAAATCACGTTTAGATACCAGCTTGGAGCTTCTTCCTGGAGGGAGCCCAGGCCAGAGACGGCTCAGCAGGCTGGGTGTGGCCAAAGACCCAGGCGAGCATGTGCCCAGAACCTGTGTGGCTGGACCTTCCTCTAGAGATGGCCTTCCTCCTCCGAGCTGTGTGAGCCTGAACAACCCAAGCCCGCGTTCCCCGCGCTCGATAATGCTTTTTTCCACCCTCCCAGGCTCTGCGCACTGTCTGACTGGATCCCCAGCAAAACTTGAAAAATAAGAGCAAATTAACCCTAAAGCAAACAGTGGGAAGGGAAGCACACGAGAGCAGAAATGAATGATACGGAAAAGAGAAAAACAACAGAGAAATCAATGAAACCAAAAGCTGATTCTTTGAAAAGGTCAATAAAATAGAGAAATCTGCCCTGACCAGAGGAGACATAATAAATTTAGCATCCCAGTGGCCTCCCGGAGGTGCCTAAGCTTCCCCTGTCTCTGGGAGAAGAGTGGGGCGGGAGCTGGCCGCACCCCTGCCGGGACCTCTCTCCCACTGGTCTCTCCCGCTATAGCCCTGCATGGGGAAGACTCACCAGAGGGAGGCCTGTCGGGCCCTGCACCCACCCCCCACAGCACTGAAGGCTGCAACAGGCCCCCAAGGGCAGTGGGTACCTGGACCCTGTGACACCCAGCCTCCCCCAGGTGGTCCTGTGATGAGCTGCATCCCCACCCTCTCTCGTAGGAACTGGAGAAAGTGGGCTACACAGGATGGCTCGTGGTCTGAGGCCAGTCCTGACGCAGCCCTGCCCGGCGGGGGGTCAGGCCTGTGTGCACCCCCCACCCAGGTAACTGAGAGGACCCTTCAGTCCCCCCATCAGCTGCTGCCTTCCCCCCTGCACGCTCTTCTGGACTAAGGAGGTTCGTAGCTCCAGGTCCTGGTCATGCAGACTCTGGGGACTGGGCAGTGGTCCGACGTGTCACCTCATGGACTTAACACACACATAGGGGATGAAGACACTCATCTGAGCAACAGACGGGCCCTGGATTGGCCAGCACCTTCGGGAACTAGCCCCTCATTTCCTGTACACACAGGGGCTGAGCTTCGGGAGTGAGCGGGAGGCTGGGCGTGACCCTGGCCCCTCAACCCCCCCACCCCCCAGCCATCAGGAGTAGCCCCTGAATCGCTGGGTGTGGCAGCACTCCTGCCTGGGCCCAGAGAGCAGAACCAGCTCCTGGTCTGGCCCGGGGGGCTTGCTGGGGTGGCACTTCACCCACCTCCACTCACTTCCGTTTGCCAGGACTGAGGGGCACCCTGGCACTCGGGGCTGACTCCAGGCTCTGTGCTCAGGGATCACTCCTGTGGGGCCCTGGGGACGCGGTGGGGAACGGGGGGTCAAATGCAGCAAGGCAAATGCCCACCTGCTGCTCTAAGGGAATTTTTAAAACGGCAACTTCTCTCTTCCTCTGGAGGCTTCTGGTACTTTCCAGTGTCGGAGAAGAACCTGAGCCCAGCTGTTTGTTCTCAAGTGGAGTAAGCCTCGGTTCCGGGTATGGAGGACAGAGGACCAGGCCCAGCAGAGCCCCAGGACTCACCTCCCCTGGGGCTCCCAGCGGGGGGCCAGCCCAGAAGGGGTTAAGATGCCCAGCAATGCAAATTAGATTTAATTAATCCTTTCCATCAGTTGCAAATATACCTTCTGAACTCTATTAAAAACATGAATATGCAAATGCAGACCTTTTTTAATTCGCATTTTCAAGGACTTAGTGTTGGGGTTTGATTAGTGAATTCTGTTAACAGCCTGTAAACCTGGTGCAAAATTTAATTTCCATTTTTAAGTTTGGAAAAAAAAAAGGAAAGGAAGGCGCAGAGGAGGCGGTAACTGAGTTTGTTCTCTGCACTCAGTGGCCGGCTGCACCCCCCAGAGGGGGCCAAGCGGGCGTAGCTTGGGGGCCCCACTTCTATGACCCCATTTTCCAGGTGTGGAGACGGAGACAGAGGGTTGGAGCACCAGGCAGGTGGAGCAGAGCCAATGGAGCCAGCGGGGTCACCCGAGATCAGGATGTGGACATCACTCACTGCTGCCCGCTGTCCATAGCTGGACGCTGATGCCAGTGGGCCTAGGGTGTGGCTGGAGGGACAGGAAGGGCTGTGGTGCTGGAGACCCCGGGGCGGCTTCAGAAGCTGGTTTGGAGTGTGACTATGAACAGCCCTGAAAATCACAGAGCCTAAGTGAGATGGATTTCTGAATGTGCTGCTAAAAAAATTCTTCAATAATTTTCTCTTGCATATCACAAAGAAAATAAAACCGAAAAATAAAAATTTACATGTGTTGGGCAAAATGAAACATGTTGAAATAAATCACGTGTCACTTCTTGCTCTTCCAGTGTGGCTTGCGCATATTCTGTGGGCTGCTCGTGGCCCAGGTGGAGTGAGGAACGGTGGGGCGACAGCAGCTCAGGAGAGCCCACCTGGGGCCGGGCGCTGCGTGTCCCTCCTGGCCTCGGTTTGGTGGCCACCTCTCACTAGGTCTTCAGCCAAGCTGAACTAGCTGCCCTGGCCAGGGCCTCTCTCCTGTTGCCTCTTCACAGGCCGCGTCCACTCCGGCTGCACAGGTGCTGGCTGGGACACGGCCTGGAGGACCTGAAGGCCCGGTCCCGCCCCTCCAGGGCACCGAGATGGTTCTCAGGACCATGGATGGCGCCTCATGTCGAGCAGTGAGGCAGAGTCACCCAGATCTTGGCTCCCACGGATGGATGGATCCCCAGGTCATGGGGCGGGGGGCAAGGAAGCACTGGGAGCTACTCCTGCTTGGCCCTGCCATCGCGGGGGTCTTCTGTGGCCCAACAGGACCCGTCTGTCAATGCTTCCTTGGAAAATGCTGGGACTGTGTGCAGCACTCACGCTTGGAGACTCTCTGGACCCCGGGGGCAGCAGAGGCTGTGGGTCCCTGTGGGCCAGGCTGGCGGGGTCTGCCCCAAACTCAGTGCTGAGGCCATGGTGAGCACTGCGTGTCCGAGTCCAGCAGGAAAGAAGACCCTAAGTGCGTCAGAACAGAGGCCCCTCCTGGCTCCCATGGTCACACCTCAGGGTCGCTAAGGGGCAGCGTGAGCCCTGTGACTCAGGGTCTGGGGTGGGTGTGACCTGAAAGTAGTCCCTGACTGCTTGGGCGGGGGGACCGAGGCAGAAACTGTGGGAGCCGGTGGAGGGTGGTGGGAATGGGCCTGAGGACAGGGCAGAGCGGGATGAAGCCTCCTGTGGCCGGCCCAAGTTGGTCCAGGAGGGAGGCGGGGCCATGCAGAAGCTGGTCCCCAGGGGGGCAGGGAAGCTGGAAGGAGTCCGCCACGTCCTGGCAATTATAGTTTATCGCTGCGGCACTAATCCCTTAAAATTAGTCATTAGCGGCTTAAGAGGCATTTAGCATCAGGCGCCCACTAATGAACTGGAGGTATAGGGGGGCCAGAACCAGAACTTTCCACGGCTGGGGCTAGTGCACCCCTTTCCCCAGCTCAGCCTGAGCCTCCCACCTGCCGAGGGTAAAGGGAGAGGGGACAGCTCGGCTGGCACCTCCTGTCTCTCTGCTGGGCCGAGCTGTCTGCAGGAGAGAAAGTGTCCACTGTGCCAGGGTGGGACTGCCCGGGCCCCGGGGCCATGTCCGTGTCACAGCGAGCGGAGCGTGGGGGTCCAGAGGTCCCGGGGTGCAGGGCATTGTTGGGGTGTGGGGAGACCCCTGCCCCCGACTTGCTCCAGTGCCCACTACCAGCCTGGCCAGTGCCCATTCACTGCCCGAGGTCAGTCCCTCGGTGTCCGAGCGTCCGCAGCTGGCTGGCAGGGAACACACACACGGACCCGGGGCGCACAGCGACCTTTATTCGGAGAAGCGGGGGCCCCCGGCCAATCCCAGCCCGCGGTGCGGCGAGTGTGTGGAGTGTGCGGCCCTAGGCCATGGTCTGGCGGCTGAAGAGGTCGAGCGTGAGGGCGCTGAGGAAGGCAGGGATGCTGTCCTGGCGCCGCAGGTGCAGCTCGATGAGCTCGGGCACGGTCCGTGAGAACTCCGTCTCCAGCAGCTGCATCTGCGCGCCCGCTGGGCCAGCCGCCTGCGGGAGGAGAGGGATACGTCAGCACTCAGGGCTTCGGGGGCTCCCCTGCCCCCGGCCGGCTGAGCCCCGACTCCCTGAGCCAGCAGCGTCCAGATGCCCCCCGCCCCCAGCCGGGAGCACGATGAGGGGTGGGCATACGGGGGAGGGCGAGCAGCCCCACCCCTCCCTTCGGAGCCTGGCACCGGCCCCTGTTTGCGGCCGGCCCGTCAGCAGTGCCTGTTGGCGGATAATACATTTAGCCTTGTCAGAGTTCAGCACAAACCATTTTTAAACAAAAATAAGAGAAACCACTCTGACCTTTTACCAAGAAAATCCTTTCATTTCTGATTTCCCCTAAATGTCAGGGCAGCTCCTCTGGCGGCTGAGGGGAGGGGCCCGGCCCAGCCTCGGCCGGGAGCTGCCCGGGTCTCACCGAAGCCGGCTCTGGTGCCGTCCCACGCCACTCCCTTCACCTGGGGGCTCGCTGCCCCCATGGACCCCATGTGGGACTGGGCCACCCACCAGCACCCGCGAGATGGTGTTCAGTGCCGGCTGTGTGCCGAGACCACAGAGACGCCAGCCGGGCGCTGCCGGGGGAAAGGCCCCCCGCGAGCTGGCAGTTGTGGGTAGGAAAGGGCCAGACCAGTCCCCCATCGTGCTCTCATTGGGGCTGGGGGCTGCTGGCTCGAAGTTGGACAGTTTCTTTCTTTCTTTCTTTTTTTTTTTTTTTTTTTGCTTTTTGGGTCACACCTGGTGATGAACAGGAGTTACTCCTGGCTCTGCACTCAGGAGTTACTCCTGGCGGTGCTCAGGGGACCATATGGGATGCTGGGAATCGAACCTGGGTCGGCCACGTGCAAGGCAAATGCCCTACCCGCTGTACTATCGCTCCAGTCCCAAAGTTGGACAGTTTCTGAACTACCCTTGGCCCCTGAACCAGATGGGGGAGGGGCAGGGCTTGCGCCAAGGCCCAAGACCATCTCCCTGGAGCTTGGCGGGACAAGTGCAGCCAGCCGGGCATCCCACTCCCCTCTTGGATCAGGAGCCACGGAATCGGGTGACCTGTTTCTGAAGGACAGGAAAAAAGGGGCTGGGAAGTGCCCGAAAGGACAGCATGTGTCTGACAGACTCGGAGCTGCTGCATCCGGGGTGGCCGTGGGCAGCAGCTGCCAAGAGCCCATGGAGAGAATGGTGTCATCTGACCCAGCTCCCAAGCCAGGACACGGCAGGGTCCCTGGAGACGGGGCATTGGTGCATGTGGGGCAGAGGCAGGAGGCAGACGGGCACATGGGAACTGAGTCAACTGGCCCTCCTGAAGGCTCTGGCACTGCAGGTCACTGAGCGTCAGGCGAGTTGCAGTCGGGGGAGGGGTCGTGAGGATGTGAGGACCAGGCCTACCTCCCTGCAGGGTCGGTCAGGGACCGGAAGGCCCCAGGCACCAGCCATGGTCGGAGCCTGCCAGGACACAGAGTGACCAGGGTCACGAAGGGGGTTCACACACGACACAGAAGCTGAGGACACGGGAGGAGGCCAGATGCTTCCCTGTGGGGAAGCCCAAACCCCTCTAAGCAGAGAGGCTGGAGTGCTGGGAACCTTGACCCGAGGGGAGAGCACTGGGGGATAAGGCGCTGTGCCCTCCCCCACACACGCGACAGAGCCCACCACTGACGGTGACATTCAGCCAAGACCCCAGTGAAACTTCAGAAACCAGGGAACTAAGACACACGCTGGCATGAAGCCTGCAGGTTCACAAAAAAACAAAACAAAACAAAAAAAACAAAAACTAAAGGAGAAGCAGGAAGTGACTGGACGAACGGAGACAGAAACGGGGCCGAGAGCCAGTGTCGTGTGGGGGAAGGATGGGATGGAGAGTGAGGGTGGGCACTGCTGCTCCCACTCGGACCAGGAGACTGAAAGGAAGCCAAGACCCGAGTAAGCAGGAGAGGCAGTGAGGGCACCGGAGGCCTGCCGGGTGCGGTGGGCATGGGCAGCAACCAGTGCCGGCCGACAGAGCCGCAGAGGGCACAGGCTGGAGGAGAGCCCGGCCGGGGCAGAGGAGGCTGGCAGTAAGTGAGGGTGCCGTGGCCGCACCGAGTGAGATGCTTCACAACGAGGGATACGCCAGCACCAACCGGGAAACGGTTCCTGTGGTGATGGGAAATCAGACCCCCACCTGCTCCTCCAGAGCAGCTGCAGGTACAGGAGGAGGAAGGAAGCCCACAGCTCTGGCCAGAGGGCAGGGTAGCTGCAGCGCCCAGCTCAGTGCCAGCGCGTGGGGCGGCCGTGGGGTGGCCCTGACTTGCGTGCCCAGCCCCACGCACTGACCCCAACACTGGCCTGGAAGGAGCGCTGAGCGTGGGTGCTGTGGGGCCTGCCTTAGGGTCATCAAAGAGCCCACAGCCAGCACTGGCCACTGTGGGAGGACGCTGCCCACACGTCCCCCGCACACCTGGTGTTGCTGCCCCCCGCCCCCAGGGCTGGTCTATGCCTGGCTGCTGGGAGCTGGGATTTGGGAGCCGCGGGGGCTTCTGGGCTGTGTCCCCACCCACCCTCCAGCGGCTACCCTAGGCCAGCGGCCACCCTTAGGCCAGCGGTGCCTCCTGGCTCTGGCAGACCGAGATCCCCTCACAAGAGGGGAGGCGCCACTTTTTAATTAGTACTTGGAGACACCAGCACGCTGTGCGCTTACGGCTTTGTAGATCTTGTGTTTCTGACACTAATTACTCGCAGAGGCTTTTAAAGCCACGTCTCGAATCTGCAACTGCCACACCGTAATTAAGCAATAGGAAGTGCAACAGACACGGCGGGTCACCTCGCTGCCACCTGTGTCCGGCTGGTGGTCCTGTCTTTGCAGCCATGAACTCTGCTTGTGGCGGGGCGGGACGGGGACATACACGGAGCTGGAAGACCCGGGCCCGGGTGAGGGCGCAACTGTCACACCTGGCAGCGAGCAGCAGGCAGGCTCCTCCTTCTCCGCAAGGAGGGACTGGTGCACTGACCAGCACCCGGGCCCCCAATCCCCCAAGTGCGCCCCATCCCCAGAGGTGGTTCTGGCTGGCCTCACTGTGAGCTGAGCTGGGGGCTGGCAAACACGGTGCTGTTGTGGCAGGAACTGCAATGCCACGGTGCCTGCTTCTTCCCCTGTCCTGTGCCACCTCTGCCGGCTCAGGCTCACATGAACCAGCAGTGGGCACCCAGGAAACTGCTGCTCCGGGACTGTGACCTGCCCCAGCCTGGTCTCACAGGTCAGTGCCCAGCCCTCGTACTGGGCACTCCCGGGACGGGGGCTAGCTCCAGTGTTCCCACAGCTACATGGGAGCCCCCTGGTAAGGCTCGGGCAGCATGGAGGGCAGGGCCTGTCCATGGACCCCACTGCCCGGGAGCACCGGGGCCGCCTGCCAGACCCAGCACTCTTCACAGGCCAAGCCCATGTCTGCCCGGGCCCCAGTGCCGGAAGCAGGATGAACTGAGGGGCTGCTGGGCAGCGGAGGCCCTTGTGGGCAGAGACCCGTGTGCAGCTCTGGAGGCGTGAGCCAGGCTAGGCAGCTCTCGGGGGAGTGGGCGGGGCGGGCAGAGAGCAGGGTTGTTCTGAGATTGCATGGACCCCACGGGCAGCGCGGCCTGAGCCTCACCCGCCTGCCCGGCCTTCCTGTGGCTGCTGGGGGGACACTGACCCTAGGATGGCACAACTCCAACTGCTTCAGGGACGGAGCTATTGCTCTCCAGGACGACTCCAGGGTCTGTGTCCACTGTGCAGGCTACCCCTGCCCAGGGCTGGTGTCCACAGTGTGGGCCACCCTGCCCCTCTCCCCCCCAGGGTCGGTGTCCACTGCATGGGTCACTCCGCCCAGCGGGCTGCAGGGAGCAGATAGGAGCCTCGTGGGTCCATTCTCAGGGCCTGGGCTCGGGGGCGCAGGGCAGAGAGTGACGTGTGCGAGCCGTTGGGTGACACTGTTTGATTTAAAATTTAATTAAACTGGGTGGAATGAAACTAACAGCCCCAGGTGTTTATTTCTAAAGAGCATTTGCAGGAATGCTCTTTATTATTTAATAAACGCCGGGAGGGCACTGCCGAGGGAAGGCCCCCACTCCCTGAGCCAGAGCAGGCAAGCAGGTCGCTGCCCCCACACACCCACCCACTCTCCCCAGCACAGCAGCGACCAGAGTGGCCAGGTACTCAGAGTGGGGACATTCAGGTCCATGCCCATGCTCATCACTGGCCCACTCACGACCCACTCACTGCCCACATACACACACAAACACCCACCCACTCGCACACACGTGCACATGTACCCACTCAAACATAGCACCTGGTCACATGTGCACACACGCCCACTCGCACATAGTACCTGCTCACACGTGCACACGCACACACCACTCACACACGCATACACACCCACTCACACACAGCACTCGCTAACATGTGCACACCCACTCACACAGCACATGCTCCTATGTACACACGCACACACTCACATATGCATACACACAGCATGCACTCACACGTGCACACGCCGGCTCGTGTCTGCACGCCCTGCTCAGCTGTGGGGCAGTGACCCGAGCCAGAGAAGCGGCGACAGGACATGAGGGGCAGAGTGGGGGACTCTGGGGCAGAGAGACTCAGCTGCTGTCCCAGGCAGACTATGCCTTCTGCGGAGAATGGCTCGGCCCTGGCCCAGCAGGGCCCGCTTAGGCTGAGGGCGCCCTGGGAGGGAGGGGGCACGGTCTGGGATCTGGGCCCCCGCAGCTCTGCACCTGCCTGCCCGCTGGGGCCGCCTTTCTTCCTCTGCATACATTAATTATGATATGGTAAACAACAGCGTTTTGAAAAATGCACGTTTCTAGGTGATTGCTTTTTTCCTTTTAATTGGTTGGTTTAACATTTGAAATCTGACTTAATTTCAACTTGATTTTCCTCGCCACGGGGTCGGGCTGAGAGCTGAGGAAATCATTAATAGAGTTCCCAGCCCAGCGTGGCTGCTCCTGGGGCGCCCCGGGGTGGGAGGGTGCGGTGCCTC